AACTTTGAGAAGTTTCTATTCAACTTTTGAAGTTTGTTCCTTTATCGATCATAATGAGATTATTTAAAGCTATTATCCTACTAAAATGATTTTATTTTTAATTTCCTCAGCATTGTTGTAATATTTTGACCAAAACATGATAGTAAGTTAAATGATATATTAACTAAAATAATATAACACTCGCATTATTTTGACGCCCTCAAATTATAATTCTCTAAGTATATACACTCATGCGCTCTCATTCTCACTCCCGCTCCGCGAATCGGTAAGCTAAATTCGTCAAGTTTAGTCTGCAGACAGTGAGAGTCTTCCATCACATATTGTCTGCCCTCGCAAGCACCCCACCCTCAATTTCCACTTGGTCGTTCCTCATTAAATTAAACACCTGACACACACCGTCGCCATAGGAGTGACACCTTCATCGCGCGATGAATATATGTTGTTGGAGTGCTTCTTAGGAGCTCGAAGGAGGATAGCGAAAAACAGCAGATAGAGAAATAAATGTAGATAGTCCGGGAAAGGAAGAATATTATCCATAAGTAGATGAGATTTTATATAATTAATAAATGTATGAACAATATAATGATTTTTTCATATATCTTGGCAAAAGCAGACTAAAACAATTGGACCATTAACCCTTAACCCACTTACTAAATCGAGCCGACGGGCTAAATCGGGTTGATAACCTTTGATAGTTAGAAATTCGGATATTCTAAAAATAATTGGGTTCCAATTTTGATGATTGAGTCAAATAGGTGAATAATTAAGGACTTTCAAAGAGTTTGGTTGAAATTCAAATGTCGGTCTTCAAGCTTCTTTCATGACAGACAAGTTTTTGCATTTTATTGTTGCTGGGTCAGCGGAAGAGAAAGTGGAACGGATGGAGGATGTGATTGTGGTTATTTATTATTGGGAGTTGCAGACGGAGAAGATAAACCATAAAGAGGGGGTAAATTTAATTTGTTATTTTCGACCTGTCCAACCGTGATTCGAGCGCATTTAACATGACTTTATCGGAAATTGTATAACAAAGGGGAGGTGTGATAATGCGTATAAACTATATAGTACGAGTGCATGTTTGATGTGAAAATAGTAAAGGGATAGATTTGAGAAAAATGAATAATAGAGTGACAATTTATGCTATCAACTACACATGAAAAGTCAAAGATCGTACTGGTAGAGTAAAATGCAGAGTTTTATAATGTTCAGATTTCTTAGCTATTGTATGTGCATTAGTATCTAACATTTAACAAGCCCCACTTATTATTCAAACAAGCCTATACAGTAAATTATAAACATTTATACAATAAATATTATTTTTCATGTTCTTCCATATTTGAGATTTCTAGGCATAACACTTTCGTTATTCTCTTGGTTTTTCTATTTACCTTCAATTCCTACGAATTCTAAACGATATATTTTCTTCCAACTCCAAATTCATATCCGACAATAAGAAATGCAAAAATTTCTTCAAAGACATGGAAAATAATATATACATTAACAAACTAGGACGACTTGATTAAAAAACACATATTAACTAATTAGCACTAATGCAATAATCAATAAATATCATAAAGATTATTTTGAAATTAACTATATTATAAAATCTAGAATTTTTTAAAGAGTTGAAAATTTTGATCAAAATTCATTCCACTAACAACTCGTGTAAAAGTTGTGAGCATGTGACTAAACAATAGTAGAATGGCCAATACTACGGTGTTGCTGTTAAAAGTGCGGCACCGATGTAGTCAATTCTTATCATTCCACGTGGCAATAACAGAATTATGAACCAGCCCAAATGAAGCATACTCAAACTCGGTTGCATCCTTTCTCAACCGCTCAACTGACCAGAAATTCGTTTATCATTTTAGGTATTTGGTAAAATGTTTATTCTATTTTTTATATAATTTGTTACCGTGAGAGAGAAGCCAGAAGTAGAGTCGGGATTGGATATGGTGACAACACCATATTTGTTGTTATGGTGACAACAACATAAGATAACCAACAGGAAGCCACCCTTCTGCATACTTTTTAGTTTTATGCAAGGTTGTCAACCTGTGGATCGACCCGGACCCGGACGGGCTATTGAATTATGGGTTAATGGGTCACCCGTATTAGCACGGATTAATTCGGATTTATGGACACACATATACGTAAGCTTCCATAAACAAGAAACAAGTCATGCCCTGAAGTTAACAGGGTTACAAAGACACACAATGGTGGTAAACTAAAGACCTCATTGAACAAGAAGTTACAAGAAAACAGTGATAAAAGAAGGCAAAGAAATAAGGTCCTCTTTGCTTCCACAGTCCCCCTACTAATTCCCTTTCTCACTTAAGAAAGAACATACAATGTTCATTTACAAATCTAAAGAGGGAAGGAAAGCAAAGTCATCTAATCTTAAAGGCCCCCTCATTTAGAAAATATACGCACATTTCACCCAATACAACCATGAGTATAGAACACAGTTTGTTCAAAGTATCCAATTACCCTAATCTATCTAAATTGAAACAAAGTACGGATTATCGAGTAACAGGGAAACCCCGGTGACTTCTGCCTATTCGGATGTTACCTTCCCGGAGATGTCGCCGGACAATTTGTTAGCTCACCGGAGAATGCGAAGCTGGAGAGAGCTGGAAGGAGGAGGATGGTTGGATGCAGGGTGAGAACGAAGTCGGCGACCTGGGAAGGTCGACTCTCCCCGACGACTTGGAGCTCGCCACCGATGAAGGGAGAACGAGCGTAGCTGCGGGAGGTGGAGACAGCGCGACGGGAGCTGGAGACAGCACTACTGCCAAGAGAATGGAAGGAGGAGGGAGCCGATAAGGGTTTCTTCCATGCTATGCTTCTTGTTTCCTCCCCAGCAAACGACGCCGCACAAGTTGAAACGCCCAGCAGCAGCTTTAGCCCGTTGACCCTGTCGGACGGGCTAACCGCCCGGGTTTGACCGGGTTTGACCGGGTTTGGGCTGTTATTGAATTGGGTTGATATAGCCCATTTTTAGTGCCGGGTTCGGGTCAACCCGCGGGTTGACAACCTTGGTTTTATGGGTTGGCTGAATTTCTGTAGGCTAAAAAGTAAAGAAAGGGCATAATGATCACTACTGTTTTTTTCTCCCCATGCCGCCTGCGTGTATTTAGTGATGGCAATTTCAACCCGCCCCGCGGGTATTACCCGACCTGACCCGCGATGGGGTGGGTATTACCCAACCCGCAGTAGAGTGGGGGAGGGGGGGCATGGGTATCTACTTCCGACCCACCCTGCCCCGTTCTAGACTCATTTATCTCAATTTCTTACAATATCTATACATATTTCTCCTATTTTGACTTTTCTTCAACTAGTTAGAGTCGATCTTTCAACTTGTTAACCTCAATTATCCATTCTATTATCAATATTTTTCATTCTTAAAGTGTTTTTCCCTACGTTTTATAGTAAAAAGTAAAATTTACTTGTATTTTTTTTAACAACATGTAAAAGTGGGTCGACCCACCCCGCCCCGTACGCGCCCGGGTTTTATCCGTCCCGACCAATAGTAGCGTGGGGCGGAGCATGGGAATTGAGGTACCGGCCCCGCCCCGCCCCGCCCCATTGCTATCACTACGTGTATTGCATTTTCTTAGAGCAGGGTGTGTGACCAACACTGCATTTAATTCACTAATTATTTTATTATTGTTACTAGGCCGCCTAATGCTAGAGAAGCGCCAGCTTTTTGGGGAAAAAAGAGCTTTGTTATATGTGGAAGATTACTTTCCAATTTCCATAAAAAAGGAAATAATAAATAAATTTGGAAACTAATAAATAGGAACTTTTTGTGGAATGAATGTGATCCGATTTATATAAATTTACAAATTAGTCTTGAGCCTCGTCGTTTAGTCGTAATACAAATTTTATTTTTTTTAAATAACTTTCTCATATCTTACGGCAATGTTACGACACACATGAAAATGTAGTGAATTATTATATAATGGTCACTGTTCGCGGGAGTCCAGTCTACGATCACTAGTCGCCGGGTTCTTTTTATACAAATTTAGTCGCCGTATTTTGTGGTTCGCATTATAGATTTATAATGTATTTTGTCGTGTTTATTCTCAGTATTTATGGTTTGCTTTCTCGTGTTTCTTATATGCTTTTTTTTGTTTGCTTTCTCATGTTTTTTGTTTTCTTTTTTGGTTTACTTTGTCGTGTTTGTGGTTTGCATTAAGAGGTTTCTAGTGTGCTTTCGAAATATTTTTGGTTTGCTTTGTGGAATTTCTGGTATGTTTAAATAGATTTGTGGTCTGCATTAGAAGGTTTCTGATTTTGTTTTTGTGTTTGCTTTTCCGTGTTTATGGTTTGTATTATGAGTTTTCTGGTGTGCTTTTGAAAATTATGTGGTTTGCTTTATGGGGTTTCTGGTATGTTTTATAGGATTTATGGTCTGGTTTAAGAGGTTTTTGGATGCTTTGTGGGTTGTTTTATCGCGCTTGTGGTTTGCATTGGGAGGTTTCGGGTGCGCTTATATAATATTTGTGGTTTGTTTTATGAGATTTGTGCTTTGTTTTAGGGGATTTATGGTTTGCGTTAGGAGGTTTCCAGTATGTTTTGGCAACTTTTGTTGTATGTTTTTAATGGGCCAATAGTACGGTGCCACAGTAAAAAGTGTGACACCTGTACCGCAAATTTTGATTGGTCCACGTGAACTGACGTGGCACAACCTTGGTTTGTTTAATAAACATGGCCAAAACTCGGCGGCCCATTAAAATGGCCCAACCTACCTCTCCCAAACTAACGGAGAATTATTTTTCGTCAATTATTTTGTTTTGTGTTTTCATTAATTAAATTAAAACTAATGTAACTGATATTAGTTTTGTTTTTCGACATAGTTAGAGAACAGAGAATTCCAAGTTTTCTAATTCTCTCCTGCACACCGGGATCAATCCCCAAATCGGTGCTTCCCTCCCACGCTCTGTCTCTGACCGCCTCTGATCTCCACACCGATCTCCATCGCCCTCGTTGAGAAATCAGAACGCCCATATCCGCTCCTCGCTCCGTCGCCAATAATTGCCATGTTCAACTCTGAGGAAGCCTCCAGACCTGAACAAGTTCATGGACAAGAAGCTCCAGATTTCATCCGCAAGTAGAAGTCTCTCCAGGGGCGACTCGGCCTTCGTCGTCTCTTTTTCTCTCTCGATTTTTGCCGGAGCACGGCGAGTCCGCTTCTCCTTCATTTCTCTAATCACTAATTAGATCAATCCTTAACTGATCTAGCTAGTTTTCCCCATCCTTTACAAGAATCGGGATGCTCCTTGAACCCGGTTTCTAACACTCACACTCCATATTTATTTGAGCAATTGTAATAAGTCAAACAGCTAGCTACATGCATTACTATTTACTAGCTAACCCTTTGTTCTTTTGTCGGTGACAATATCCCTAGCCCATTTTACTAACTAAGAGTATGCGGAAAAGGAAATAACAGACATGCAGTATAACAACTACTGAACTGCTTGAACAATGAAGCTTGAATCTTTCTTTTCATATATAAGAATGGCATCAAATTTCTTCAAGGCCATTTGTTTACAACATCTCCAAGAAACAAGCTTAAAGCAGAAGAAAGAAGGTTCTAACAATCTATGAAAGAGGGAAAGAGGAAGGCCAGAAGTAAGACCCTCCTGAAAAGGAGCATGAATGATGAAGATGAAGATACTCCAGAGCTAGTTGCTGACCATGGAAAAGATGCTGCTAATCTGGGAAGAAGAATGACAAAAGCATAGAAGAATGTTGATGATGTGGTCATGGACAAAAAAATAAGCAACGCACCGTTTTGTGTAGTGTAACGACAACCTTCAAGTTTTACTGTGCAATTAGACAGGTGTACAAAGTTCAATACGATATTTTCACGAAATCCATTAACCACCAACCGATATTTTCACGAAATCTCATCAATACTATCAACTGGTTCCACAACTGCATCAACCATACTTTATGAGGTGTTTGGTATGGAGTTCAAATATTTCAATAATATAAAATACAACTCTTCATAATTAAAGCATGAAAATAGAGTTACGTGAATTTTATTTTACAAATTGTGACATTTATAAGTTTTTTATTGATTAGATTTCATTCTCGATACACTTAAACTTTCAGTGCTCCGCGAGGCCATCCAGTGGTGTTTAGATTGTGGTATCTCGCAAGTTCGGTTTGAAGGAATCGCAAAGGTGGACATTGATAAGGTAAATTTGACTGGTACGCTAGATAATCGTTTTGGAGCCATTCTTGCGGAAGTTCGTGGTCTGGTGGGAAATTTCCATGGTCTTACTGTATGATTTGTAGGTCGGAGTAGCAATCGGGTAGCCCACTCAGTGGCTAGAAATGCCCTTTCTTTATATCCGGCTACAATTCGCTCTTTTGATTTCCTTCCTGGTTGTATACCACAATGTAATTTGTTCGATCTCTTTCTAATCAATATAAGATTGCCTATGCTTGGTCCGGCTTTTAGAAGTGTCCGGCTTTTAGAAGTGCTTTTCGGCTTCAAAAGCTGAAGCAGGGCCAAATACCTCTAAAGCTCGGCTTTTTAAAAGCCGAAAAGTGTTTTTGTATAACGTAAAAGCAGAAGCTCTGATTTGTAGATTCAGCGAAAAGCTGTTTTGAAAATACAATATTATCTTTATCATATTTTAATTTTATTTCAGATAATATAATTTTATTTCATTTATATCATTTTACAACTAAATAAACTATAAAATCATATTATTTAATATTAAAGAAATCTAACAAGATCTATTTTGACTACTTTTTATTTTTTTAGAAATTTTATTCATAGTTTATATTATAAGTCTTTTATAGTCATTTTACACAGCCTCTCATATTAAAAAGTAATTTTAATAGTTTTTATCCAAACACTTAGCTCCATTTTTTAAAAGTACTTTTCTAAAACCTTCAGCCAACAGCTACTTCTGCAAAATCTACAATGGGGCCAAACTAACCGATTATCTTTTGTAAAAAAAAAAAAAAAAGACAAAGAAAAAGACCTACTTGAAAGTTCCTGCATATTTAGGTAACCGAAGCCACCAAAATCTGGTGGTTAGTTAATCAAATTACATAACAACAATAATCATTTAGCGTGTTATTGTAGGCCTCTCCTTTCGTTCTCGCCCTCATTCTTCTGCCCTTTTGGTCTCTCTTCCATCGATCTCCCCTTTTCTGCTTCTGTTGGCTAATTTTTTTCCCCATTTCCTTGCTTTCCCCCCCAAACCATTCTCTCATGGTAGACGATCATCATCGTCATAACTCGGATACTAATCTTGATTCCTCGACGACGTCCGATGTTGCTTCCCAAAGCTGTGATAGCAATAACATCAAGAACCCTAATAACAACAACTCCTCCTCACCATCGTCGTCCTCGTCAAGCGAGAAGACTTGTAGGCGTTTCAAAGCTAAGGATTTTTGGAGGATTTACGGTGCTTTGATTTCCGGATGTTGTGGCGCTGCTAGCAATAATAATAATCATTCTTTGCTACCAATTTCTCCGCCGCCAGAGCGGCCGCCGGAGTCTTTGTCGACATCGCCGTCATCTTCTTGTTGCTCTGATGTTGGTAAGGCTGGTTTGGAAGACGGTGATCAGCCAGCGCCTGGTCTAGCACCCAGATTCGATTCCCAAAGGGTACGTTCCTAGCTAGCTAGGGTTCGAATATATCTTTCCTTTTCATGCATAACTTTGGTGGACATAATTGCCTGGAATTGTTTGTCTAGTAACTTTACAATGCATGTATTTGAAAATGACTGATTTGTATTTACACCATTTTTTAGGGCTTATATAAGGTATTCCATCATGTTAATCGACCGAAGGGATATGATTAAATGGCTCAATTATATGCGAGGATATTAGTTCATTAGAAAAACTCACAAAACAACACTATCTAAGAACTAATCGGATATACATAAACCTTTTGTCCTCGTTTGTATAGATTATCCCGTCTCATCTACATGTAAAAGTGTAGACATCTTCATTTTATATTTTAGGAAAAACTAACATGTTATGTAAAATGCTTACCTTTTAAACGCTACATATTTGTTTCTCGGAAGTTAGAATTCTCTAAATTAATATATTTAATTAATATATGTATTATAATTAGATGTATTGTTTCAATATAGGAATTTGAAAAATAAGTTAGCAATCTCTCAAACACAATTTCTATTAAAAGTTGAGATTCACAATCGTTCATAATAAATTATTCTGGTGGTTCCATCTGTTGTTCAAATACAAGCATTATGTTTCATTTTAAGACCAAAAAAAAATACAACGAATTTTTCTGATTACATATATTGGCTAAATACATCGTCTGAAATTCCACCTTCCAAACGATACAATTTCACAAAATTAATAGACCGTGTAAGTCAAAAACTACTAATTTCTAATTAGCTTGTTGAGAGTATAACGATGTTATCGATGTTTATGATATAGGTATCACTAGTATTCATGCTCTCTTATTATATTTTAATTTATACATGTTGCAAAGAGACCAAACCTAAGGATCTACTCCCACCATCCGTTTCCTTTTTTCAGCAGGTTGAAGAAGAACAAGTAGAGAACACAACAATGAATGGAATCCACAGCTGTAGATACACCACCACAGCAGCAGATCAATCCACCAGCAGCACAACCACAACTCCCAACGGCACAACATTGAAACAAAAAAACAAAGAGAAGGAAGCAGATTTCCTCCGAACCATCACAAACCCTCTCTCCAGAATCGCCAGCAAAAGGAGCCCTTCCCCTTCCCCGAAATCCTCCCCGTCCACTTCCTCCAAGAACGGCAGCAGCCGGCGGAGCGTCTCCCCTCTATCCTTTGTCCACCGATGCATCACCGGACGCAAGGCCGCCGCCGCCACCACCGCCACTCCTCCTCCCGCCGACCACCACCACCACTCCCCCTTCCCCGCTGCAACCCCGCCTCCATCCACGGGGAACGACAGCCAGAGAATAACACCAACAACAACCACTACTATTAAAGATGGGGCCGGGCCTACGGCTTCGCTGAGGAGAGACGCTAGCGTGAGAAGCACGACGCCGATCATGTTCTCCAACTCCACCGGCCGGAAGGTGAAGCCTCCGCCGGTGCAGCAGAACTTGGAGTGCACCCTCGAGGAGTTGTTCTATGGTTGCACTAAGAAGGTCAAGGTTACCAGAGACGTCCTCACTGACCGAGGGTATGTATTATCACACCACTCTCGAAATTCCGATTTAAATCCTACCATTTTACTTACACTCTCGAAATTTCGATTTAAATCTTAAAATCTTACGATTTTAATTATATGTTTCGATTCTGTTTTTCGCTATAAAATCTGTGAACCTTAAAATCATACACCATTCACGATTTATATCCTTAAAGTTTTACGATTAAAATATTTGAGTTAATTTTAGTTATTTTCCCTAGAATTTGCAACCTTACGCCTCTTGTCCTTTTCCTTCACGAACATCATTTAGTTGTCGCACACTAACCACCATCGATCATCATCAATTCACATCAACGTACTAATTATCATCGATTCACCACTTTTCAATATTGACGTTGATAAATTGTAATATTAACCTTGAGAAATTATCATTATAATTGTTATGTGTTTTTGTTTTATTCACGATTATCCTTATTAATATTATTTTGTCTTTCATTTATTCACGATTATCCTTATTATATTATTCCCTATGCTCCCCCCACGTACATGTTTCAACAAATGTTATAAAAAAAACGTTGCTTACGTAGTAGATGAAATCATGCATGCAGGCAAATCGTACAGGAAGAGGAGACGCTGTCGATCCAAGTGAAGCCCGGATGGAGGCGAGGCACCAAGATCACATTCCAAGGCATGGGGAACGAGCGGCTCGGATCCGAACCGGCCGACGTCACGTTCGTGATCGTCGAGAAGCGGCACGCGCTGTTCCAGCGAGTAGGGGACGACTTGGAGATCGCGATCGGGATCCCTCTAGTGCAGGCGCTGACAGGGTGCGACATCTCCATCCCGCTCATCGGCGGCTCCGGGGAGACGATGAACCTCGCCATCCAGGACGTCATCTATCCTGGGTACCAGAAGGTGATCCCGGGCCAAGGAATGCCGAAATCGAAGGAGGAAGGAAAGAGAGGCAGCCTCAGGGTTTTGTTCTTGGTTGAGTTCCCAGATGAGTTGACAGAGGAGCAGAGGGCGCAGGTTGTTAGCATTTTAGAGGAGGAGGCTGGTTCTTGAACTGTACGTTGATTTTTTCAACATATATATTTGGCATTCAAATGTGCCTTCCTTCCTTCTTGCTGTGTATACATAGTTCTTTTGTTTCATCTGTTTATCCTTTGGGAGTTACACTTTCTGGCTTCTTCTTAGTTTATGTCATGATGAAGATTTATTTTTATGAAGGTGATGTTTATCTTTTTTAGGGGCAATAATTTTATGGTAAATACATCTGCATAGTTATTACTCCTGAGTTTTTAACAACTGGGAGGGCTAGGGTGGTAACACTTAGTTTGTTAGCATGGCGCTAACACTAGCTCCAACTAATCGGAACATTTCGTTTGGATGTCTTTTCCATTTAAATCAGTTAATCACAATTAATGAAGAGAAGAGAGAGGCACGCTTGGTATGATGAAAAATTGAGGAAGAGGAGGAAGGAAGGGATGAGGACTACGAACCAGAACACAACCTCTTCCAAGCATGCCACAACTTTCTCAAGCATGCCACAACCACAAAGCATGCCACAAGTTTATACCGCATGCCACAAGTAGTGGACCTATTTGTAAATTTGAAAAAATATAAGTACCAAAATGTAAGGGAAAATGTAGGTACTGAAATATAATTTTCCAACCATATTTTTAGGAGAATGTAAAAAAAATTAGGTACTAAATATTAATACCTATTAAGTTTGAGTACCAAAACTGTAATTTGTAAATAAAACATAAGAAAGCAACGTAAATTGAAGGGGAGGAGAAGGGGACGGGAAGGGGAAGGGTGAACACATAGATACTATAATATCCTTAATAATGTGTTAGTATGGTGCTAACACTTAAAGGTGTTAGCACCATATCCACTCCCATTACCAATAATAGCCACTTTCTGAGAAACACACAAAATAGCTCGAATTTAGGATAGTTATTTGACAAATCTAGCCATTGTCGTTAAAAACTCAAATGGTGTTAGAGGCGTCGTCAACAACATTAACGAGATGCTGATGCGGTCACCTCCAACTTGTCACATCATACCACATGGACGCCACATCATATTTAAATTTCAAAATAAATTCAAAAATTAGTCACCGTACAAATATCAATAGAAAAGAAAAAAAAAATCATCCCATTCATCAACAAATTGAGCGACTCAAACTCCAGTCCACAAAACTCCTCTAAACTAAGCGAGTTTGAGATCACATTTGCACCTTACACGGCCAATAAAGCGCAGGTACTCGTCGGGTTTGTCGCCGAATGCATCCGAAGCCAAACCCCGCTGGTGACTGAGACCAGGGGATTGCTCGTAGATGGCGCTTCCAACAAATCCTACGTGGGGTCTATACCGACTAATTTTCATCGAGAAATGAAGGTCGCAATATATGCCCAGAAAGTGGCGCAACCGAGCTTAGTGTCACATTCGCAACCACCATCATTGTATTCAACCACCGAAGCATGGGGCACGGAAGCCGAAGGCGAGGGACTCATAATAGATGCAGTGCCACCCAGACTTCGTTGAATTGACACTTGCGGCTGACCCCGTCATTATGTACTGTCACATGTGGCAGATGACATGGCGCCAACAAGGTGACAACATGGCGGCTGCACATGTGGCATGTATGGAAAACTAGTAGCATAGAGATGCTCCTACGATTTTCCACCTTAATAGAGAGCTTAATGGTGCACTTATGAGTCACATAATGGGTGACATTTATAGAGTGCATAATGGGGGGACTTAATGGGGTGTATTGATGTAGAGGGACATTATGAGGGACATTGATGCCTTGTATGAGGAGAGGCCTATATAAGGAGCTGAGAAAAAGGCTGCCTAGCGCTCTAACGAAATTGAGAGCTAGGGCCACATGATCGAGAGTAAAGTCGTGACAAGTGGTATCAGAGCCCCGTTTCGGCTTTGTGCTAGCAAGTAGAAGCAATAGCCACACGAAAAGGAAGAGCCTCACCAAAATTGTTGGGATCAGAAGTCAATGACGATGCTGTTGAGAAGCAACGTGGAAGAGATCCCACCCCGAGCGAGAGAGGAAAAGGTACGTCGATCACTCGTGATCCTCTCAAGACTCTAGAGAAGCGAGTCTTGAGGATGGAGGTGAAACTTTCCGAAGATGTCACCGCCATCGAGGATTTGGGAGCTAACTTCGCCCAAGTCCAAAGCGATGTTCAAGGAATGGCTGGTCGATTGACGAGCTTGGAGATCAACCATGATGGGATGCGAGAAGAGCTCGTGGCTCTCATCTCCGAAACCGTGAACACCGCCATTGAAGTTGTGAAAGAGAATGTCCAGGCTGAGCTGGCCGGCGTGAAGGAGGAGATTGCATTCCTCAAGAGTGAGGTCACTCTCGTGAAGAGAGCCATGGCTAGCGGACCAGCCTCGGTGCAATCCGTCCCACGTGCTGATGTTCCAAGACCGAAGAGCTTCGGAGGTTCAAGGAATGCGAGGGAGTTAGAGAACTTCCTTTGGAGTCTTGAGCAGTACTTCAAGGCGTCCGGCGTCCAAGAGGATGAGGTAAAACTTCGTACCGCTCCACTATACTTGATCGATGTTGCAATGGTGTGGTGGAGGCGATGTGAAGCGGACGTCGAACGAGGTATATGTGTGATGGTAACGTGGGAAGATTTCAAGAGAGAAATCAAGAAGCAGTTCTACCCGGAGAACGTGGAGTTTGAAGCCCGTTCGAAGTTGAGAAGACTCTCCCAGAGGGGTGGAGTTCGAGAATATGTGGAAGAATTCTCGGAGCTGCTGCTAGAGATCCCGGACATCACGGACAAGGAGGCCATGCACGGCTTTCTTGATGGGATGCAACCATGGGCCAAGATGGAGATGCAACGTCGAGGAGTGCAAGACCTTGCAACTGCCATGGCCACGGCGGAGTCTTTTGTTGAGTACAAAAGGCAAGAGAGCAGCGGCAAAGAGATGAGTTCAAAGCCCAACAAGGGTGGAGAATAGCAGAAGCCTTTCAAGGAGGGTTCTCGCTTTCAACAACATCAAGGTGGTTCGAGCAAATGGGGTAAGTATGAACCAAAGCGCGTATATTGTTTCCTTTACGACGGACCACATCGAGTGCGGGATTGCACAAGGAGGGCGAGATTGGCGTCCATGGAAGCTCAAGATGATGAGCCCAAGGCGGCGGAGGCCAAGATTGGCTCAATCCACAAGCTTGGCGTGGTGAAGACCGACGTTAAAGAGAGCAAGCGTGGGAGGTGCTATGTTCTGGCGCAATTTATGCAAGGCGAGTCAAAATCCTTGGTGGATACCGGTGCCACGGACAGCTTCCTTCGCATCGAGGAGGCAAACCGGCTGGGTATTGCCTACGAGAAGGGGCAAGGGAGGCTCAAGACGATCAACTCGGAGTCCATCCCGATCTATGGAGTTGCTCACAACGTGCCAGTGAAGCTCGGCGAGTGGGAAGGCCTCATCGACTTTTCCGTCGTCACCATGGATGATCACCCAGTCATCCTCGGCATCAACTTCCTCGACAAGGAGGGAGTGCTCTTGAATCCCAACTCCAACACGATGTGCTTGGAGAAGGAAGGGGAGTTCCATGCGGTCCATCTCTTGAGAGAAGATGGCCCCCATAGTGCTCTATCCGCTATGCAGGTATTGAAGGGGTTCAAGAAGAATGGACCAACCTTTCTTTTGTCCTTGAAAATGGAGGAAGAAGGAGGTTCAACGGGAATCACAACTCCCATCATCGAAGGCGTCCTCGAAGAGTTCGATGAGGTGATGCCATCGGAGTTGCCCAAGAAGTAGCCACCAAGAAGAGAGGTGGACCACAAGATCGAATTGGAGCCAGGAGCGAAGCCCCTTTCGCGAGCACCATACCGCATGTCGCCACCGGAGTTAGAAGAATTGCGGAGGCAACTCAAGGACTTGGTGGACGCAGGCTACATGCGGCCATCGAAGTCACCTTTTCGAGCACTGGTGTTGTTCCAAAAGAAGAAGAAAGGATCGTTGCGCATGTGCATCGACTATAGAGCCATCAACAAGTTGACGGTGAAGAACAAGTGGCCGATTCCCAACATTGCCGACTTGTTCGACCAGCTTTGAGATGCAATGTGGTTCACCAAGCTAGATCTTCGCTCGGGCTACTATCAAGTGCGGATAGCATAGGGCAACGAGCCAAAGACGGCTTGTGTTACGAGGTATGACTCTTACGAGTTTCTTTGATGCCATTCGGTCTCACCAACGCACCAACCACATTTTGCACTTTGATGAATCAAGTGTTCGAGCCATTCTTGGACCGGTTTGTCGTGGTCTACTTGGATGACATCGTCGTGTATAGCAAAACACTCGATGAGCATGTCGAGCATCTACATCAAGTCTTCCAAGTCCTTCGCGACAACGAGTTGTATGTCAAGATGGAGAAGTGCACGTTTGCCGCCATGGAGGTTCCGTTCTTGGGGCACATCATTGGTGGAGGCAAGTTGAAGATGGATGGGGCGAAGGTGCAGGCAATCCAAGAATGGGAGCCGCCGACGAAGGTGCCAGAGTTGTGGTCATTCCTCGGCCTTGCCAACTACTATTGGAGGTTTATCAAGGACTACTCCAACATTGCAGCACCCTTGACGGATCTCTTGAAGAAGAACAACGCGTGGGATTGGTCAAAAATGTGCCAAGAAGCATTCGAGGCCTTGAAGGCTGCGGTGATGAAGGAGCTCGTGCTCGTGCTCCCCAACCCGACGTTGGCCTACGAAATGCAGACCGATGCATCCGACTTCGCAATTGGAGATGTGTTGATGCAAGATGGGCATCCCATTGCCTTCGAGAGTCGGAAGCTTAGCGAGACGGAGAGGCGATACACCGTTCAAGAGAAGGAGATGACAGTCGTGGTGCATTGCTTGCGCACATGGAGGCACTACTTGTTGGGGTCAAAGTTCGTAGTGATGACGGACAACGTGGCAACGAGCTACTTTCTGACGCAGAAGAAGCTCACCCCCTAAGCAAACGAGGTGGAAAGACTTTTTGGCCGAGTTCGACTTCGTCATGGAGTACAATCCAGGCAAGGCGAACTCCGTTGC